CGACACAAGTCGACACAAAAGTCATTCTGTCTTCGTTCAGTATTCAGTGAGAAACAAAGACAGAATGACTCTTGTGTCGACTTGTGTCGACTGTGTCTCCTAAAAGGAAAACGGCCATAGTTATACACATATATATCCATGGTGTATGTGTATGAGCTAATGAGCTCAAAGTCTACTACGCATAGTACGCATCTGTCGGAATGGTACACCTTTCTCTTTACACCATGGATTTTCTGCTACAGAAGTTGCCACCTGTGAAATATTTGTAAAACATTTTTTTCTTTAAACACTTGTATCTTCAAAACTAGTGGAAATTTTTTCAATCTGTTTTTGTATCGACACAGAATCGTTTAAACTTTCTATTTAAAAAATGTCAAATTGTTCATTTATCATTAAAATATTGCACGTCAAAGTTGGGCATTAGAAAAACGTCCCAAAAATCCTATTGTAAAAATATTAATTTTATAATTTTTAGAAGACACCTTTTTCCCTGATAGTACAAACGATCCCCTAGAAAACTGCTTTGAAATTTTGTAGATCTTAATTACAAAAAAAATAATGAAGTTTTAAGCAAAATACCTTTCTTCAAAAAAATTATCAAGTTTTCCTTTAAACGCTTATATCTCCGAAACTAGTAAATTTTTCCACTTTGTTTTTTATTTTTTGTTTTTATCGACGCAGAATCATAAATTTTTGATTCAAAAAAAGAAATTGAAAAACTGATTGATTTTTCACAGAGATATTTGATCTTAAAATCGCATGGACCTTACAAACCCAGGCTGCATTATTCGTAGGTTTTTTTTAGTTCTGCAAACGAAGGGCTAATAAAACTTAAGAGGCTATAGCTAGAATAGTTCAAAATACTATTTTATGTTGGAAAGTAAAACTATCACGTTTGCAAGAACGAAAATGATTATATTTGATTGAAAAATTACATCAGCTCTTGTTCGTGAGAATTCAGTTCACCAGAAAATTATATACATTGAAAAATGACAAACTTCATTCATATTCTTTCTGAGAATTTGTAAATAAAGACTTTATTTCATGTCTCACATGAGTTTTAATTTATAACATTTTCGTCTTACAACAAACCTATTTTATTACGTGTATATAAGATTATTTTAGCTTACTAACAAATACACCAATTGTCACTTTTCGTACCTTATGATGTGACATGCGCACAATTACTAACTTGTACAAAGTAATGTTCAGATTAAAATTAAGAGCGGAGGATAGTCAATTCAGATCGGAGAAGGATGAAGCGGTGGACAGATAAGCCCCAGCCCCTAGCAGCACCCACCTCCTTGCGCACTACCTTGTCCACCGGTACCTGATAAACCTCCAGGACTTGTTGGCGAATGCTGTGGTCCAATCTTTATACCGTTTGCCTGGACAATTCATTCAATTCCTGTTAGTATCAGGAATACATTTTATCACAAAATATGTGCACTATCTTACAATTGTAGAAGAAAATAATTAAATAATGCAAGTATATAATGTAATAAAAGAAAAAAAATGATAAAAAACAAAACAAAAAAGCAACTCTATATAAGTAGCTATATTGTACACACACACACACACAGAGTTACTATATATTTTCTATATTTTTTTATATTGATACAAGCAACATGGGACTGTCAATATATGATTATTCTATTATTATTACTAACATTTAAAGAATTACCTCATTATTGATATCAAAAACTCCTTCTTGTATTTTTTCATATATTTCTTTTGCAGTATTGATAAAGGCTTCTTCTACATTAGCTGCAGTCTTGGCGCTAGTCTCCATGAAAACGAGGCCATGTTCTCTAGCAAAAGCCTCGCCCTCTTCTCTTCTTACTTCCCTTCGGCTATCCAGATCACTTTTGTTACCAATTAACATGATGACCATGTTAGAATTTGAATGTTGCCTTGCATCTTCCAACCATGTTGTAAGATGATTAAAAGTTTCTCTGCGTGTAATGTCATATACTAGTAAAGCACCTGCTGCCCCGCGGTAATATGATCTTGTTATAGAACGAAATGCCTCTTGACCTGCCTATATAAAATATTGCAAAAATATAATTATTAATGTTTAGATGGATGTGAACATTGCAAAATTTCATTCATTTTCTTCAGTATTAAAGTTAGAATTGCATAAATTTTCACAAAAGTGATTAAAACCATCTCTTTTAAATATAAAAAAATAAAAATTTAAAGAATTTTACTTTTAATTAAAACTTTAAAATTGTAAATGTCGTTTTGTAGTTTGTAGCTTAATATAGTACTATAGATATTAAATGCAAAAACATATAAAACTAATTTAAATAATTACAGTATCCCAGATTTGGAGCTTAATTTGCTTGCTGTCAATAGTAATCATTCGAGCACCAAATTCCACTCCTATTGTCAAGTCATGGACAGGTTGAAATCTCTTATCCGTAAACTGTAGAAGAAGACAGGATTTCCCAACTCCTGTGTACATAAAAATATATTGATATTATAAATTTTCTACTGAGAAACTCCTGTTTCTGATTACCCTCCTAATCTTATTATACATTCACATATTCCAGATTTATCTTAATTAACTATTAATTTCTTTCTATCAGTTCTTATATATTTTTAATATTATACAAACTTAATTTTACATACATATTATTACTTATTATAATAATGCATCTATAGTGTCACATAAAATACTGAAATCATTACAGCATATACTTTCATGAATAATGAATGCAGTACATATAAAGTGCATCCAAGTTGCAGCCTGAATACCTTCATTGTAAAAAAGATAAGATTTATTAATAACTCCCAGCAATGAAATCAACAAATCTTCAAGAACTCGATATTGACATACAACAATAACAACAAATGAAACAATGCGAAAAGGTAGTTTAAAACCCAATCAAACATTATAATTATACAACATATATATCTTTAACGGGGAACAAACGTAGCGTTAAAATGAAGAAGTCTTTTTCATGTTTTATCGCGGAAAAACAAATTTTCTTTCGTGTTTTCTTTTCTGTCGAATGTACATGACAACGAAAACAATGGATCTTGTCACGGATGACGTAGAAAATATGGGAGGACGGTCTCGTTTCTCGGATCAAGTTTTATAGCACAATGCACGTATGCGTCGCTCTCACCTGTGTCCCCGATAATGATGTACTTGAACAGGTACGCGTACGACATCCCGGGATTTGCGAAGCTAACGAAACGTGTGGACAGTGTTTCTGCTACGACAGACACCACCAAACACTACCAAGAAACAGAACTTTCCCTTCAATAGTATTATCTCTTCTGCTTTGACATGACGTCACAGTAGTGCTTCGGCAGATCTCGGAGCGGTTCGGATTACATCGTCTCGCTACCATCACTTCGACTTTGACTGCGTTCCGTTTTACGCATATGCGCGCATTTATCTATAGTACACGTCACTTATAGTATAGATAAATGCGCGCATATAAAACGGAACGCAGCTTTTTTTATACAGGCTGCGTTCCGATCATAGACTTAGGCTGCTTTCCTTTTAAGAGACACAGTCGACACAAGTCGACACAAAAGTCATTCTGTCTTCGTTCAGTATTCAGTGAGAAACAAAGACAGAATGACTCTTGTGTCGACTTGTGTCGACTGTGGTCTAGTTTCCACCGAAACATTAATTCACACCTACTGCGGCGTAGAATCAAATTTAAGTCGATGGAAACACGTCGAATTGCACTCAATTCACTTTTGCTTCGATCTATAAGTGGTCTAGTTTCCACCGAAACCCTCAATTCGGTTTCACTTCGGTACTGATCAAATTTAGTGCTCTGTTTCCATTGGAAGTAGAGTACTTATAGATCAAAGCGGAAGTGAAATCAGCACAATTTGACAGGTTTCCATCGACTTGAATTTGATTCTACGTCGCATTTGGTGTGAATTAATGCTTCGGTGGAAACTAGACCAGTTTTACCGNAGTGGCAGCAAATTGACATACAATTTTAATCGGTGGAAACGTTTGAAACTAAATAATGCCAACCTCTATTTTTCATTATGTCTGCATTATGTCGGGTCTTGTTAAGAAGTCGATGCAAGTTGAAAATAAAAAGATAAAATATATGATTGAATCATTTCCGCGGAGTCAATTACAAGTTTCTCGGATTATATTCTTTTCAGGTTATGTCTGTTTATATTTACACAAACGAGTTTTAAGTTGGCTCTACTGAAATATTAATTTTTCTTACTTCTATTCTACTTCCAATGGAAACGGAACACTAAATGTCTGTTCGTTTTACCTGAACTGGCCGCTCTAGGTCAGAGTTTATCTTCTTTACTCTACGTTGGAAAAAGAAGGATAAACTCTGACCTAGAGCGGCCAGTTCAGGTAAAACGAACAGACATTAAATTTGATCTGTATCGGAGTGGAACCGAATTGAAGGTTTCGGTGGAAACTAGACCACTGTGTACACTTCGGTGCTTTCCAACTACGACACAAGTCGACACAATTGTACACAGCTAAAATGCTGTGTTCAACTGTATCATTCCATGGATACCCAGCAAACACAGAATATAACTGCTATATAACATAGAAGTAACAGCGTAATATACGTAATATAACAGTTGTTATACTCCCCAGTCAGAAATATCTTGTCGAATCGACGTCGATTCGACGTCGATTATACTAGTCGATCGACGGTTGAAATTTGTAGTCGATTCGACTTAAAAATGGACACGAATTTCGACCAATTATTGACAAGTCGATTTGATATCGATATTATGTGAAGACAGATTGAGTCAATCTAAATAGAAAAGTCTTATACCATTTTGCAAATATT